TACCTAAGAGAAATGAACACGCATGTTTACAAAAAGATTTTTTTTTAATCTTCCCAACAGCTTTATTCATAATAGGAGAAAGCTACAAAAAGCCCAGCTCCCCATCATTACGAGAAGGAATAAACTATGGTGTTTTCATACCTGGGAACACAACAGCAGTAAAAGGAAACAAGCCACACGGGAGCATCTCAGAAACATCGCGCTGAGCCGGAGCAGCCTTACAGGGAGCGGCGGGCCGCGCATTAGCGCAGGAAGCTCTTAAACGAGGGGAGCGAAGGCACAGCAGGGCCTTGAGGACCGGGTTTGCTTCGGGATGGGGTGCAGGAGGAATTCATTGGGCAGGGGCAAGTGGGGAAGTTCCTGAGTGATAATCCTGTTCTGTATTTTGGCAGAGATTGGGGTTACTTAGGTGTATGCACCTGTAAAAGCTCAGGACATTTACATACTAAGATTTGTGTATTTGTATGCAAATTTTACTTAACAAAAACCAAACAAATATTGAACTCCAGTTAATAACATGCACACAAAAACAGTTAATGGAAAGCAGGCTGATGTTTGCAATTGACCCTGAAATACGTCTGAATAAATGGACAGATGGATACGAGGTGAAGCGAATGCAGTGAAATTTTAATGCACAGTCTAGGTCGTGGGTATATGTGTTTTCACTATGCAGTTGTTTCAGCTTTGCTCTGTATTCAAAATTCTTGAAGCCCTTGCCATGGCTGACCACCCCTCAGACATCACCTCGCAGCACTCACCCTGGCCCACCCAGCTCCAGCGAAGCTGCCTCCTTGCTGTTCCTGAATACAGAAACAATCCTACCACAGGCACTGGCTCAATGTCCCTCCCTCAAATGCCAGAAGGGTCACCCCTCCACGCCTCTGCTAAGGGGCCAGGAGAGAGGCCTCCCCAGACCACCCTGTACGATACAGCGCCGTCCACCGCGCCACCGAAACACCTGCCACCACCCAGCGCGGCACAGGCTTGTCTGTCATCTCCACCGCCCTCCAACCCGCCTGCCTGGAATGGCGATTCCATAAAAAGCATGGTTCTGTTTTGCTCACTGTTGTTTCCCCGGCACCTTGAACAGGCTCTGGCATGTCCAGGCAATAAATCCTGGCTGCGTGAACTGAGGAGATGAGCGAGGGAAGTATCGATGGCTTTACAAGCGCACAATCTGATGATTCTATCAAGAGCCTCGGTAGGTCTATGCTGATTGAGCTCTCCGAAGCACATGATCATAAGGATATTTATGCCAATATTCTTTAAGAAGAAGAAAACTTAAGAAATCAAAATCAGGGTCCAACTATAGAGAAAAGAACACATCTACCTAAGATCCTCTGACTTCACTGTTTGCTGTTCCATCTCGCCCTGGCTAAATCTTAACTTCGGTGCCACTTCCTTATTATAATATTTTATTATTTTCTTCACATTACAACTTAAGTTGTAAGTTAGTTTATTTTTATTTAAATCTATCTCTATTAGAGCAAAGATCATGTCTATTTTGCTCAAAATACACATTTTATCGCTGACCTGTGTTGAATAAATGAACACCAACTAAGTCCTCATAGTTCATGGCACCAAGCCAAACTACATATAAAACAGGGAGAGAGAGAAAATGGAAAATGTAAGTATGATACTTTTAAATAACTGAAACACATACTAAGATAATAACAGCTAATAGAAATGAAGGAGTTAAGAAAGGAAGAGTCACCCTCGCTGGTTTGGCCCAGTGGTTAGAGCACCGACCCATGAACCTGGAGGTCACGGTTCGATTCCTGGTGAGGGCACAGGCCCCGGCTGCAGGCTCGATCCCCAGAAGGGGGCATGCAGGAGGCAGCTGATCGATGATTCTCTCTCATCATTGATGTTTCTCTCTCTCTCTCTCCCTCTCCTTACCTTGCTCTGAAATCAATAAAAAAAACATATTTTAAAAAACTGAAGCAAAACTGTGCTATGGTTTAGACAGGGACTGAAATTCTGCTTACTCAAAAAGCTGGAGGAATCACGCTACCTAATATCAAACTATACTACAAGGCCATAGTCATCAAATCAGCATGGTACTGGCACAAAGACAGATATGCAGATGAATGAAACAGGATAGAGAGCCCAGAAATAAACCCACACCCTTACGGCCAACTAATACTTGACAAAGGAAGCAAGAACACACAATGGGGTAAAGATATTCTGTTCAATAAATGGTACTGGGAAAATTGGGGAGGGCTGGATGAAAAAGGTGAAGGGATTAAACAAACAAACCCCCCCCCCAAAATCTCAGACACAGACAACAGTAAGGTGATTACCAGAGGGAAAGGGGGTGGGGAAAGTGGAGAGGGTAAAGGGGGGATAAGTGGTGATGGAAGGAGACTTGACTGGGAGTGGTGAACAAACAGATGATGTGTTACAGAACTGTACACCTGAAACCTATATAATTTTATTAACCAATGTCACCCCAATAAATTCAATAAAAATTTTAAAAAGGCAAATACGATTTATGGTCTGCAAAGATCCCTAAGAACCGGGATTATTTCTAGGTTGACCAACATTAGCTCCCCACTGTCTAGCATATGGGAACACTTAAATAATTACTGAATAGCTGACTAGTGATAAACAAGTTTCAGAAGGGTTTAGTTAGAGTAATGCATAACAGTCACAGTAGCCTATAAAAGATGAATATTTGACGGTATATCATAGCCTTTTACAATGAAAACTAAAACTGCCAAGCTACCTGCATGGCATATCTTCTGCGATCACACTGGGAAGCAACGACGTACAGCTCTTAGATCACGGAGCCTGAAGTTGAAGTCAGAAAGAACTGAGTCTGAATTCCAACTCTTCCTCTTACCAGTTGTGTGACCTTACCTCCTGTAAAACAGGGTGGCTTCTACCTCACAGTATACAGCAGATGAGATAACGTGGATATAAAGCTCTCTGAACGCAGTAAGAGCTGAATGAATGCACCAGAAGGAGCCTGTGTTCCCAGACTGCCTCCTAATTTCTGAAACAGTCCTCACGGGGCCACAGCACTGCCATAGTAAACAGCTGGTCAATGAAAATTCCATGAAAAGATTATTCAAGTCTCTTAAAATACAATCTGGGCATAAGAACGACTTTAAAGAGGTAACTTAAATTACTCTGAAGACCTTTAACTTACTCAGAGCTAAACACGAGATACCTTTGTAACTATTAAAAGGGATACCTCTAATTATAACCAAAACAAGTGCGTAGCCTGAGTACCGCCAAAGGAATGTGCTCAATCCAGTCAACACTCCTAACCACACAAGCTCAGCCTTCTTGTTAAAGCCTGAGCTTCCTCTTTGCCTTTAAGCCTGTCAACAAACAGTGTAATGGATCAAAACGTAGTCTCTATTAATAAGAAAAAGTTATATTTATAAAATCCACAGAGAAACAGTTCTCTTGGTAGGAAGAAAAATTTTTTAAAGCCACAGCCAGAATCTTCTACCTCTGCAAAATAAGACCAATCTTTAAAAACAAGAAATACAAAACCCCAAGTCCTAAATACCTAATAATATGACACATAATTAATTACATGATTAGATAGAAGACCAATGTTCATCATAAATGATTTATCAAAGAACAAATACTATTTTACTTAAAATGTTAAAGAATTATAAAGTCCAATGTACTGGTTACTTAACCCTTACACCACTGACACCAAAATCCTGCACTCAAGAATATCCTGATTTCCATTAAATTTGCAGCAATATATGTTTGCTTATAAAATATTTTAAGAAGTAACCATATTACCCAAAAGAAAAGAAAAAGGCAAGGGGACTTCTAACTGGAATACACACGCACACATAAGGGGTTTCAAACAAGTTTGGTGAATGCATTTATTAAACGTACAAATTAAAATTCTATTGGTCCCACACCTCCAACTGCAAAAGGACCACACAATACAAGTCCCCTGTCCTCCCCACCCCCACCCCCCATCTACTGAGGAAACTCGATGCTTAGGCCATGCCAAAAACCAGAATATAAGTAAGTATAACCCAAAGTATGCGATCCCTACTACACTTCACTGAGCTGTGATCCTACCAAGCCTCTTCCTCTTTCAGGACATTTTCTTTTTGGTCATCCCAAAGAAGAACATGAAGGATTTAAAAGGCAAACTGAGACCATATTAGGCAATTTAAAATATTTATCAAAGTTGGAATTTACCCTACACAGATACACAGATATGAAATAACCTTTGTTCAAGCTCGTGTATTACATTATTGTTTCTAATTCTAAAAAAGAACACTTATGTTTTTCAATAACAGGGAACAAGTTATGTAAATTAAGGAAATCCAAACAGATTATACACAGTTAAAAAATTCAGCGAAGCATCTCTCGGAAAACTGACTTTATGAGTAAAAAACAGCAAGGTACAAAGTAATATGCTCCCATCTGTTAGAAAAGAGCAGAGTGGGAGAAATATAATACGTGTATGTATATGTATGTGAGTATATATATGTATATTCCATAAAATATAGCTATAAAGATGCATAAGAAACTAGAAAACCTGGTTGCCTCAACGTAGAGGAGATGGGGAGCAAGGGTTGGAGGGAGACTTTGACGCTTTTATATCTCCTGAATTTTGTGCCAAGTGAATGTTTTAACTAATTCAAAACATTGATTTTTTTTTTTTAATGATTGCTAATTTTTAAAGGAAGTCCTTTGTAAGCCTGTTTAACTGCCTGTAAAATGGGAGGAAAAAGTAGCATCTACTTAATAGAGTTACCACGACAAAAAATGAGATCTTGCATGTGAAGTGACTCCCACGATTCCTGGCCCACTTTACAAAATCACTTACAGCGTCTCTGGTTCCCCACCTGTCCCTTATTCCTTGCGCCTTGTGTGGTGCTGCACACACGGCAGCATCTCGAGCAGCTACTGAGAAATAAGTGGGTGAGGCCTTTCTGAAAGGATCACCAGGTGCACAGCAGCCACCACGCCGGAAAGTGCCATTTTAGGGAGTCAAGCGTCTTCATACTTACAGGGATGCTCCAGACCTGCATTCCATCACTATAGCCGATCATCACCAGCAAAGGCGGCTCATTCCCAGTGCTGTGTATTTCATGAAATTCCAGATTCCTTGATGTATCTACATTGGAAGTAAGCAACAGAGAAATTAAAAAGACACCATGCCAGTCAAGAAAGCAACATACTTCTTCAGTGCCGTTAGTGCTACAATTGTTTCCATTGTTTCCCATTAAAAAATAAGTGCAGAAGTATTTGGAAGACAGCATTTAAAAGAAAGTGAACAGGAAGCTGAAATCCTAAAAACAGTAGTTTTTTCATTTAAACAGAGTACCTACAATTATCAGCACAAGTAAGGTTTTAAAAAATCAAACTCTCACTAGAGAACTAGGGAATGTTAACATCAGAATCAAAGCCACCTATAAATAACAAATGAAAATGAAATATTTTACCAAAATTAAATAAATGTAACTATGAAGTATAATCACCTAGAACTTCTAATATTTGCAAATTCAGCAATGGAAGAAAAATTATGTTCCTTTACATAAAGGAATTGAATCTTGATGTGTCTGAAGACACGGGCCGTGTAGTCCACTACAAAATAATTATATGTACTTGTATGATGAACATTTCCAATTTACATCAGTTAATATTTACCACCAGTTATACAATCAGTATTGTAAGATATCCTTACTGAACCCAATGTTTACACCTCAAAAATTACTCCTTCTAGCATTCTAGCCTCAGTTCAGTTTTATCTTCCATCAAGTCTGCTCACCCGCTTCCGTTATGACTTTCTTTGACTTTCTTCAGCCCTCCAGTTCACTGACACCCTGCCTTCTCCCTGCAGACTCATCTTAGTCTTTGATCAGCCGTCTCAGTAATGTCTGTCAATAATCTACATTCTCTTATCTCTTTTTGTAGGATCTCTGCATGGCATCCAAAGAGCAAAACCCTATTCCTAGATGAACCCAGCCACCCTCTATCCTAGTGTGTTCTAGGCAGCCAAGTACTGATCCAGAAAAATCACAGAATTGGTACCACTATAAATTAAATTATCTCCACGAACTTCAACTGGACCCTCAAAACTGCACACCAAATTTATTCTGCTTTCTAGAACTTATCCTATGATTACTTCAATGACTTTCTTAAACTCTGTCCAGGCCCTGACTCCACCCATTCTCTCCTCACTCACGCTGCACAGGGAAACTAGAAACTGCCCGCTGCCAAAGGCAGATGTGCATCTGTAGCAGCCTCTTCACCTTCCATCCTACTACAAATAGTTGTCTTTCCTTCTGTCTAAACTCAACCCCTCCATCTGTGCTTTGGATCCCATCCTCCACCACCTCCTCAGGAGCTTTTTTCCAATCATTCCTGCTATCTTCAATTCCTTCCATGCTACTGGATATTTTCAATGGGCATTTAAACATGCTCGGGTGTCTCCTATCTTTTAGAATTTTTCAAACAAATCAGTACCGGGGGATTTTTAGATATAAATGACATAGATAAAATTAAATTATGAAAGATAATGCAGAAAAGTTATTTTCATGATCAGAGTGTAGAGAAAGATTTAACAGGACACACACAAAACTCAGCATAAAATACTGACAAATTCTACTGAATGCTTTTTCACATTAAAATAAAGAACTTCTGTTAATCATGAGCCACTCTTACCACCAGAGTGAAAAAGCAGCCACAGGGCAGGAGACTTGTACTCATCCAGTACACATAACAATTAAAATCAATATGAAAAAGAAATCATTAGAAAGATAGGCAAGAGACACACAAAAAAGCACCTCAAAATGAGGATATTCAAATGATCAATAAACACGAAAAGAGCTCAAAAAGTGGCTCGACCTCATCTGCTGTAATCAAGGAAATGCTAAAAACCACAATGACAAAACCTAGTGAGGTGGAGCAAAGGGGTGGCCTATGTACTGCTGGTGAATGTAAATCAGTTCGACTTCAGAGAACAGCCTGACAACTTACTCTAGTTGTCATACGCCCTTCAGCCAAGCAGTTCCACTCTAGGTTTTCTTACTCATTCGAAGCATGAGCACAGGCACAGACACTGAGAGACGTGCACAAGATTATCCGCAGCAAGATTTGAGAAGAGCCAAGAGCTGCATCAATCCAAATGCCCATCAACAGAATGGACGAGCACAGTGTGGTACTGATACAGTGGAATACTACGCAGCACGGAAAAAAGAATGAACTACTGCCACTCACCAGACACGGACGAGCCTCACAGACATAATGAGCAAAACAAGCCAGACACGAAAGACGATATATTGAATAATTCTATCTATATGAAATTCCAGGTCACCAGGCAATTAGTAATATTCTACTTCTTACCCGAGGTGATGGTTACATAGGTGTTGGATTAGTAAAAATTCATTCACTGATGTATACTTTTGTTTTGTGTTGTTTTCCATGATATATTTGCACAATAAATAAGGTTTTTAAAATCATAAATTAAAGCAATAATATTCCTCTCCCTTTGTGTGACTACAGCACTCTCCTCTCCTTCTAGAAGCTAAATTCCTTGACTGAGTTGCTTATAATTGTCATCTATTTTTATCTCTCATTCACCCAAAAATACGTTTCGGGATGGTTTCTGCCCCTAACACTCCTTTGAAGCGACTTCTGCTACAGTCGCCAATAACCTCCAAGTTGTTGTTAAAGAGAAAAGCACAGGCCAAAAATGGCACCCTAGGTGACCCCACTGCTTCAATTAGTATCTGCCAGTGACCTCCTCAACATGGGTTTTTGGGTGTCTCAATAGGAGAGCAAATTCCACTCAAAAATCATGATTTTCTCCCCACACCTGGTATTCCAGGGTTCCTCTCGGTGACTAGCAACATCAAGAACCACCTTCTTCCCTCCCTCCAGCAATAAATCTATCACTAACCCCTGTCTTCCTGAACAGCTCTCCTTACACCACCACCCTGTCCCAGCTGCTTCTGTTCCAATAGCACAACGAGCTTCCACCACTGCCCATCAAACGCCATACTACAGTCCGAGTGCTCTCTTTAAAACAAATAATGAGCCCGGTCAGGGTGACTGAGTGGTTGAGCATCGACCTGTGATCCAGGAGACAGAGGTTCGATTCCTGGTCAGGGCACGTGCCGGGGTTGCGGGATCGATCCCCAGTAGAGGGGGTGCAGGAGGCAGCCGATCAATGACTCTCATCATTGATGTTTCTATCTCTCTCTCTTCCTCTCTCTGAAATCAATAAAAACATATTTTTTTTAAAAAAAAAAAAAGCATTTATGTGTTAAAAAAAAAGGAAGGATATATGCTAATAAACAAGGAAATTTGAGCCATAAAAAGAAAATGTAAAATATAATAAGCTTTCAAAAGGAAATACAATGGGAAGCTTACATATCACAAATAAGCACCCCTACATGTGAATGCTTTATCTCCCATAAAGAGGCCCCAACAGGTTGTCATTATTGAACGAACCGGATGGTACAGAATCCAAAATTCAAAAGAAACCAGTTTGCAGAGATGATACTTGGCCTCTCTCATCCTGGACAGTAGCTTTTAAAGGAAAATACGGCATTATATTTTAAAAGTCTAGAGGAGACAAAAACTCAATAGTATGATACCAATCAGGTTCAAACAGGAAATTAAAACAGCTCAGGGTATTTATAATTGGGAATTTAATGCACACAACCGGTTAGCTGAGAAGCCAAAAAACAAACTGTGAGGCAACCTAACTGGATTAGCAACAAGCAGGATGTCATTGCTACCCCTAAGCTAGGAAGACACAGGAGAGTGCAGAGTGCTGAGGTCACCTGGTCGAAGCTGAACTGCCAGGCAACCCCCCAGGACAGCCTATAACCACAGAAAAAAGCAGCCTCTGACGGTGAGCAGGGGAGGGAAGAACACTCTTTCCTGTCCCATCGGCCCACTCAGTTTCTCACCAGCGCCTCTCAAACTCAGCCAGAAGGTGGCAGACATGGCAGCCTGGGAAACAGACTCCGGGCAGCCCCCTCTCACCCTCTCACCTGGGACTTAAAGCTTAAGGCGAGGCTTTATGTGTTACACTTACTTTCAAACTTGTACAATGTCATTATTAGTTCCAATGAAGTTTCTGTAGTGCGGTTATGCTACTTTTTAAATGAAACATGAACTTATTTTAAAAGCTAAAATGTTGCTGAAAGAGAAAGCGATCTTACTCAAGGAAGGGTTCTCTTTTGGAATCAGGTCAACCTCAAACACACATTTAATTCATATGCCCCAAAAAGTTAAAACCATACCATTTAAATCTGCATTTTCAAATCTGACCCAGACTATTTTCTCCTTCTCTTCTGTTAGAGGTGTTCCACTGTAAGCCTGCATAGTAAACAGAAACGGTTGAATAAAAATATTTTACAGCTCTTATAGTACCGATGTTCAAAACAAAGAGTAGCTTAAAGAAAGCCAACCCTGCCCCTCGACAATGTCACCAATCCTACCTCTTGGAAACTAGCACATTTTGTAATATTTTTACTCCCAAAGAAAAGTTATCCAGGAGTCTGATAACCGTGGTAAAAAAGAGGGTTTTTAACCTTTAAAGAAGAGCAGAAGGCCTGGCAGGGTGGCTCAGCCGGGCGGAGTGTCATCCCGCACACCAAGAGGCTCTGGGTTCAATTCCCGGCAGGGGTACACATGGGAGGCAACTGATCCATGTTCCTCTCTCATATCAACGTCTGTCTCTCATTCTCTCTCCCATCCTCTCTCTCTAAAAAATCAATGAAGAACATATCCTCAGGTGAGGATTTTTAAAAAAAGAATTGCAGAAACCTAAAATATAATGATCATAGCCTATTAAGAAATATCGCTATAATTCAAAGGCACTCAAAAACTAAATCATCCCCTTATATTGGTCAACAAACAAGTCTTAAAAAAAATAAACAAAACTACCACAGGTATCTATTTGGTTCCCATGTATTTTTGATCAGGCAATTACACTGTACCCAGAATTTCAAGAACATTACTTTTCTACAGCATAGGAAATATAGTCAATAATCCTGTAATAACTACGTATGGTGCCAGGTGGGTACTAGAATTATCGGGAGGAATCACTTCATACATTATATAATTTTCAGGCTATACACCTGAAACTAACATAAAATAATATTGAGCCCGGCTGGGCGTGGCTCAGCGGCTGAGCATTGACCTGGGATCCAGGCGATCGGGGTTCGATTCCTGGTCAGGGTACATGCCCGGGTTGTGGGCTCGATCCCCAGTGGGGGGTGTGCAGGAGGCGGCCCGTCAATGACTCTCATCATTGATGTTTCTGTCTCTCTCCCTCCTTCTCCTTTCCTCTCTCTGAAATCAATAAAGATTTTTTTTTTAAAACTTAAAATAAAAATATATACATACTGAGTATCAACTGTAATTTAAAAATAAATTTTTTAAATGTACTCTTTGAAATTATAAATAGAATGATAGGACAATATATATATATGACCTCATTTTTCTAAACCACAAAACAATTAAAAGGTTTATTTGCTTTTCTCTCCTAGGCTTAAAAATATAGCATAGAAACATAATAAATTCACTTGTTCACAGTCACCAAAAATAAAAATAAAAAGGAGTATTACTTTCGGCTTGCCTCGAGCTGGAGGGCACGGGTCAGTGTTGGGGGTGGGGAAAAAAGTATTCTCTGATCCAGCCTCTCCACTCAACCTATCAGCTAGTTCCTACGAGCCCACAAGGGTCACAGAGATAAACATCAACTGCCCTGAAGTCACAGGAAGCGCCAAGAGTACTCATCAGTATTCAAAGGGAGTCATCTCTCCATAAAGCAAGTGTTTTTATTTTTAAAAATGTTAAAGACTGTGTGTACTTACAAGCATTTAGAAGAACAAAAGAGCTGCAACACTTTCGATTATAAAGTGGTTCTCAGTTCAGAGAACTATTCTTTAACATGGTATATCAGAACCATGTTACACATGACCTGCTTTAAATTTCCATGCCAATTTAGAGCCCCTGTACTTACCAAAGTTAATGGTCATTGAAAATACTAGTAAAAGACAGTCACTTTCATAGATTTACTCTACACAAAAAATCCTTATGATCTCAATTGTCTTTAAAAAAAAAAAGAGAGAGGTGTTCAGGGCAGCTTATCCTGTGGAGGAAACCCCACTATAAGCAACTTTATCTTCCCCCATCTCAACCTTATCAGGCTTTCTCTTCTCAGCCTTATCTCTTCCTCTTCTTCCTCCCTCTCGCTCTGGACATCCTTGAAAACTCTCTTTTTACAATTTTTTACAATTTTTTGAATAATTTTAGATGACCAAACCCAGTACAGAAAGTTGTCACACGCCCCTCGGCCAGATTCCCCGAATGTGGGTGGTACCTTTGTCGAAACTCTGACACTAACTGCCGCGCTACTGTTAATTACGCTCCAGGTTTTAGGGGATTTCACCAGTTTTTCCACTAACGTCCTTTCTCTGCTCCAGGATCCAGCCTAAGCCGCCACCTCCCCTGAGGTCAGCTTCTTCCTTCCTATCTGGGGCTCTCCAATCTGGCGAAGCAGTTACATTCCGTGAACATTCCCTCCCTCCAGCTGACTCCTAAGGCTCCTATCCCCTGCAGCACTGCCGAGCACCCTCCCAGGCCTTTGCAACATCCATCTGAAGATGCTGTCCTTTGATTTCTGGGCGAGAAGCAGAACGAAACAGGATGAAAGACGCCTTTGGGCCCACTGGGATCCCTGAGCTTTCCTGTCCTTTACTCCAAGGCTGGTATGCTTGCGTTCGTCTCCAAGCTTTCCTCTCTCCTTCCCCACACGGTGCTCTCTCCTGAGCCCTCCCGAGAAAATTCTGGGAAGCTGATGGAGGCGTCCGAGGGTTGCATCCGAGGGTCTGCACGCAGGTGTATGACATCGCGTCGCTTTGCCTCTCGGCTTACAGCCTTTGCCCATGTTTAGATATTTTATTCCCAGCGAGGCACAGACTCACCCAGGGCCCATCTGGCTCTCGCCTGCTGTCTCGCGGAGGTCAGTGTCCTACCAAACTGATTATTAGCATTCCTTCTCCAACCGACACCCCCCTAGCCCTCCAATTCAGAGCCATGACTGACAGGGTTTGCTTATTTCTCCTATTCCTTGTCTGGTTTCTAACACAGCTACACATTCATGAGCGCAAAGTTATTGTTGAATGTGAAAAGACACAGCCACGATTGCGGTAGATACGTTGTTTTATTTTTTCACTATAGAGAAAACAACTTCCACTGGGTGCTACATCGGAAGTATAACTTTAATAGCAGCAAATTATTCTACAGGAATAACATATCATAATTTGCTTGACTGCTACTGACATTTGGACTGACTACAATTTTTGACACTGGAAATGTGGAATTTTCAAAAGCAATGAAATGAAAAGATCTTTATTAAATCATTTTTTTAATAACTTTTCATAGTACAATTATTAGATGGAAGGGCACAGCTAATCAATGCCCTCGCTACGAGCCATCAATGACATCGCTTGGACACAATGGGAATTCAATCTATTTGTGAGAGCTGAAGAAACTGATATGACTAACACATTTTCTCTCTTTGGGGGCTATTTAGAGACCTCGAGAATAATTTCCAGGCTCCATGAATTTGATGATTCCCAGAATAGAGCAGGAGTAGGAACATAATATCATCAGCAAAAAATATCATCTTCCAAATGGCTGACTGCAAAGTACCAATGGGGGATTCTGGATTAAACGTGGAAAAAGACTACGCTGTACACCTGAGACCCATATAAAATAATATTGAATATAAATTACAACTGAAAAGTAAAATTTACATTTAAAAAAAAAGAGACCATGAGTCACCAAATCCAGCCTACCACCTGTGTTCATTAAGTTTTACTTTAATACAGTCCTACCCTTTGCTTTACATAAAAAGCAGTGCTGAGTAGTTGCTACAGAGGTTATGTGAACTGCAAAAGCTTATCTGGCCCTTTACAGAAACAGTTTGCCAACTGCTACACTAGACCATGAAGCCTTAAGGATAGGCACAGAGGATCCCCTCAACTTGACACAGTGCCAGATCCATAATGGGTGCTCAAGTAAATGTCTGCTGCCTGAATTTTTTGCTTTCTTTCCACAGTAAGCAGAATAATGACTTGCATAACATAAATTTCTTGAATGAATATTCTAATTCTTAGATCCAGGACTATGACTTTACTTCCACAGTTACTACTCTGCTCCAAATCTTCAGTCAATTGCATAGATTAACCCCTTTCTATTGTATACTAGTCATAAAAAACTAAATTAATCTTCCACCTTTTGGCATTTTTACCCTATCAGCTTTAGTAGCCTATTTTCAATCTATTACTCAATCTAGTAGTATTCCTGTTTCTCTAGCAAAGTCTCCAACTACTCCCTCAAAGCCCCTGACACAGCATTTCTCCTCCAGCCAACCAACACTGCTTGCTATGCAGGGCTTCCATTAGCAAGAAAGTTGCCTTTGTAAAAATTTGATAAAGAGGCACTCTAGGGGCAGGCAAATTACAAAAATTTTAAGTGCCCCTTCCTTGGAACTAGTCTCATGCCAGGGCTCAGGGCTTACGAGAAAGGAGCAATTTATAGAAGACCTAAGCTTGGCCTTCTCTGCAGAATACAGGAGGCTCTCCAGCCACAGCAATTCTGTTGCCTTCCACACTCAGCTAACTAGTTTCCTTCAACATCAAATACTCAACCTTTCCATTCATTTCCATTAATGCTACTTCCAATGACCTTTGGAACTTAACCTTTTCACTCTTTCTTTGCTATGCATTCCCTTTGCAATTAAGTATTCTGTCTGTACTATCATGTGTAACACTAACTGATATATTGCTATTATCTCTGGCTGTTTCAAGAAATTTGACTTCCCTTATTAAACAAGTTCCTCAGGAAAGAAAGCCATGCATTTCTCCTTACATGCCCCGCAGGCCTGCAAACCTTGTCATTGTGACCTATTTTCATTAAAGCTGACTGAATGTAATAAAGAAATACCAACATTCCTTGGTACTGTCCCTTATCTGATGCATATTATTTGTTGAATACAGCTGAAACCTGGATTGCAGAGTTTTCTAGGACCCTCTCATAAAACCAGGCCACTGGATCTCTGAGTGTCGTTTTTGAACAGGGCAGTTACAGCTACGTTAGCAGTCAGGGAACACTGACATCACCACAAGGAGAAAACAGAAACCTTCCCCTTCTATAGTTCCACTAACCAGTGCTTCCCAAAGCTACTGTTTCACAAGAATCATCTGAGATTCTTACTATAGACACAAGTTACTAGATGCCACCGCAATTCCACTGAGTCAAACTCTCTGGGAGAGGGGCCTGGAAATTATTATTTTTTACAAGCATGCCAAGTGATACTTATGTTAAGTATGAGCAACAGTGCACTAGAGCTGATCCCAGAAGGGCAGCTCTCTCATTCATCTCACATGGAAATACAGGGAACAGTAAGGAGCTTACTTGCTCACAGGTTAAAGTAACAAGGCACACTCTGTGGCATAACAGTACTGCTCAATATGAAAGAGACATAGATTTGTGCTTGGTATACAGGAATTAGTTAACGTAATACCTAGTCAGTGCAATGTAAAGCACACATTGCTTGTCTCACTTCAGACGGGCACCATTTAACCAGGACAAGAGACGTATTTCGCAAACAGAACCCAACTAGAGAGTCCCAAGTCCCATCTCTCAAATAACATCTCACCTTGATTTCTCTTAGGAGAGCAAGTCCTGAGGAATGATAATCGTGCCACTGTCAGCACAAAACTAAGGCACATCTAATAACAAGTAAAATTCCACCCTACCTATGTTCAGGATGCTAAAACATCGAGTATTTTTGAAGTTGTGATACTAGTATCAAGTTCAGGAAATGGAACATTTCCGTGGCTCCCAGGCCAATGGTAACATCTACTGTTTCTGAAACCACATAACACTTACCTGTGGCACAACATCCTGTAGAAAAGTCACAACACTTTCCATGTACGACTGCTCCCTGTAAAGGAGAAAATTGGATAAAATTTATCATGACAGCTTAAGACAAACATGGAAAAGCTCTTTCTACAAGGCCTAAGAAACTCATTCATAATATTTTTTAAAAGGGGGGGAAAAGACCAACTCACATCACATGATAATTCTGCTAAGCTTTCTCGGTTCATTGTATGTTATTAAATGCAAATGAGATCTTAACATTTTTAAACATTATGTCTTCTGAAAAGTTATGCTCTCTTAATTTGATGTAGGTAACTTCTAACTCATACTTGAAGGAGTGAAGACAGAAGACTTGGCTAAGGCAAGCTCTTCCTCTTGAGTCAGAGCAGAATGCCCTAGTTAGAGCAAGAAAAACTGTTGCTGATGACTCGGTATTTAGTGGCCTTCTCTTTAAAGTGGATATGAACCTAGTCCCTTACATGTATAGAGAAAATTGAATCTGTATTTTTCTACAGGTAACTTTTGCCATAGGCAAGACATGGGAAAGTATTAAAATGCACAAGGACACTAAGATATTTTAAAGAGGAAGTATATAGATATCGGCAAGTAGAGAAATAAAATTCTTCAAAATGTCAAATCAAATTCATTCCAGAGAGATGTGGAAAATTACACTTAATAATGAGTTATCCTAAATTCTCTTTTAAAATATACCTTACATACCTATAAAACTAAGCCTAAAAAAAAATTTTTTTTTTATTAGACCTGTCTCTCCAAACTAATTTTTCCACCACTCCCTTAATTTACTCTGCTTCAGTCAGATGCAACTTCAATTCCTAGATTACACCAAGCTCTTGTTTAATCAAGACCTTTACACCAGCTTTCTGCCTAAATTCCTTCCCATACTCTGCCCTCCCTTTCATATCTCCAGCTAAAGTGTTGCCTCCTCAGAGCAGCCTTCCCTGATAGCCTTATCTTACTCCCATTGTCATTCTCTACCATGGCGCGCTGCACTGATCAGAGCCCTAAGGACTTTACCTATGTACTGTTTCCCCCACTAGAATGTAAACTCCACTACAGAAAGGAATCCATCTCTCATATTTACCTTGTACCTCCAGAATCTATAAGCCTGTACTTAGGCCTGGGTAGATGCTCAGGCACTGTTAAAAGAATGCTGAATGAACTGAAGCGTTTTTTTAAACCACAAAAAGTATGTATTGCGTAACAAAAAGCAATAAATGTTGAACATGGTGAGACCGCATAGACAAACTGCCTGGATATGATCCAGGTTCCCCTTCTTGGCTGTTACTAAGAACGATTTACTTAATTTCTCTCTGCTCTGGTCTCCTCACCTGTAAGATGAAGAGTGAAACAGGACCTACCTCACAGCTAACAACATGCTTAACTTATTGCCATGGTCCATAGTTAGCAAAGACATATAGCCTTGAGAAATGCAGGAGAAAAAAAGGAAGTTTTGCGGTAAAAATATCATATTCCACATGTACTTTTGTTACTCTGAGAAGACAATCTTTATGTAACATGCTAAACTTCCCAAGGGAAATAATCTAAGATGCTACAATTTCCTTATGAACATTTTAAAAAGCAGAAAACAAATTTCACCTCCTTAGCCAGGTACTGTAGGGTCTTAGTTGCCCACCTCGACCTACTTCATATAAGTCAAATTTCCTATATTTCATTCATGGAAACAGTTTGCCTTTCCCACATCTGCTCACTCTATTCCATTTGCCTAAAATACACCCTTGATTCTAACTGCCCAAATACTATTCAATCTTTGAAGTACGCTATAAATGTTAGCTTCTTAATGAAACCTTTTCAGGTCTAAAATACTAAAATACTCCCACTAAATACAAAAAAATACTCTCTCTAAATTCGCATGCTGTTTGACTAGCATCTTTTTTACTGATTATAGGGATTTCAAGCATACATATCTTAAAAGCATATTAGATTATATGCTCCTAGAAAGTATACACATGCCTTGGCTGGGTGGCTCAGTTGGTTGGAGCACTGTCCCATACACTAAAAGGTTTCGGGTTCAATTCCTGATCAAGGCACATACCTAGGTAGTGGGTTCAATCCCTGGTCAGGGTGCATACGGGAGGCAACCAATTGATGTTTCTCTCTCACATCGATGTTTCTTTCTTTCTCTCCAACCCCCCTTCCTCAACACATCCTCGGGTAAGGATTAAAAAAAAATAAAATACATATGCTTGGTCAAGGAAGGCTTAAAATATAGAAATGTACCCTTTATGACGCTGACTTTGAAATTTCCTACCTGTGACCTCAGTGTAAGAAATATTTACATCACGTTCTAGTAAACATACATGAATATATCTACGTGTGACACAAAACAATGCTAACTCTCAACTATATTTTCTATTACATTCGTTTTCGTTTTTGAATAATGGTCCTGATCCAATAAATTGATTTAATAACCCACTAATTGTTAAACCTGGAGTATGAAAAAGACACCCCTCTTTAGGATTTAGCTTGGTGCTTTTCCTGTACTCTGTAAAAGTGCAGAATACATCAACTTGACCTTCCAATTATTCCTTTTATTTGAGCTTGGCAATGATATTTATCATCCTGTAAAGCCAAAATTAAATAGGTTCTACAAAAGTAATCACTGTTCAGAAAAGAAACCTGAATGTTAAGTCACTATTCTGAGTAATTTTGTCTTCAGTTATTAGGCTTATCTGAAATTTGCTTACGTGACAGCCTGGGGGCGAACCACAACTCCACCAGTACAACGACTGGGTCTTCTGGGGGAATCTGTAGCCATGGCTTCATGCACAAAACCTGTTTCCAGAGCAAAATTAGAAAAAATGGATCATTATTGTTGGGAGTAGGGAGGGAGGTTTATGGTTGCTCACTAGAGATCCCTTGTCAAAAGTGCCAAAATGTAGGAAACTTTCCCAGCAATTTCTATTACACCAGAAAAGAGGGAGGACAGGAGGTTTTAAAATTTTTAAATTACCAAGATTTTTTATTTGAACCAAACCTCAGAAACCACAAAACCAGTTAAGACTCTTGCTGGACCCTTTGATCTGTTAACATAAATTAGAAAGGTAAGGAGAACCAGATCATGGATGGGAAGTCTAGCACAGGATCACTTTATAAAAACAAATGTGCTACCTTAGTAGCCAAAATTTTAAAACCTACTGAAATCTTATGTTGAGACACTGAAAATACACACACTGTACAATATTTCAAGACCAAACAGGACAGTAGGGTAACACCATCCAACTAAGGCTGTTGGTAATCCGTGAGTAAGAAAGCATATTGTAACTGGGTGGTGATGGATCTTAACTAGACTTACTGTGGTGATCATTTCACAATATACACAAATATCAAAGTTTTATGTTGTACACTTGAAACTAATATAATGCTATGTGCCAATTATATCTTTTTAAAAAAAAGACAGCAGGGTCATAATGTAGCAAGATTTTTTTCAATCAATTTTGTTAACCACCTGCTATTGGAACTTAATCACCAGAGTCTAAATCAGTAATAAAAACTTATATTGCATTAGAAGCCCCTTATCCTTTCCTGTCACATCACTGAGTCCTGGCCCCTGAATGTCTAATAAGCATCTGAATCATTGGGGAGGTTTTAAGAGCATGGGGTGTACTTGGTTCGGGTTTAGAGGAGGACTGACAGCAATATTAAATGTCTCTTACAAGGCTCGGGAGAGCCCACAGCCTGGCACGAATCTTGAAAGCCCCTAAACCCCTCACTTCTAAGCAGAGAGCATTCTATCACCTTATTTGACACCTGTGAAACTGAGGAGTCCCATCTGCTACAACCAAACACCCTCTGCCCCAGCTAGCCCAGGGACCCCTTCCTCAATGGGTACCTTCCCCTCCAGCCCCTCAGCCCTCTCATTTCCATACCACCCTTTATTTCCAAAACACAGCCTCCCAAGAACTGTCCTGTGAGGGCCCTGTCTCCTGAGGATGACCCTGGCCAGTCCCTCAGGCCCCACTCCCCTGAGACACACCAGCCCCGCGCTACCCACTTAACCTCCAAGGCGGAGGCACCGCTGCCCCCGGCCGCCCTCTGGCCCCTTGCCCTTCCTTCCTCCCCTCCCCCTCCGATCTCCACAGCTCTCCCACGCCCAATTCCTGCCCGCCGAGCCCTCTCCCCTCACGCTGCTCGCCCCTCGTCCTCGCCAAGCCTCCCCAAAGCCACAGCCCCAGCAGCCCTCTCACCGGCCGCCCCGCCGGTAAACGCTGTTCTCCAGATCAAGCCTCACTGTTTGGAGTCTCCCCCTCGTGATTGACGGCTACCACTTCCTACCACGCCTCAGCGGAACTACCTTCCCAGCCAATCCCAGGAGCAAACTGGCTACGGCCGGGCACCGCCCCAAGAGGTCAGTTTCGCCAACCAGCAAGTAGAAAAGAGACGGACCCGCCTCCTGAAATTAGCCAATCCGCTGGGGCTCGAGGAAAAACAAAACAGTATGTAAATTCGGGGGAAAGAGAGGTGTCAGGTTCGGTTGCAAAGGCTGGCCGGCGGGGAGGAATCCCGGACATGTCGAGCGCCCATGGCAGACAGCACCCTCGTGGCTCTGTCCCAAAGCATCGTGCCCCAGACTCCGTGCACCTCACCTGAGCGTCTGAGGCTGGGAATCCGAGGACCCGGGACGGGTGTGTTTACATGGAATTCTCGCGACATCTGGGTAGACGCTCAGAGCACGTGGACATGGCAGCTGCCAATCACTCTTAGCTGGCCACTCATCCATTCGGAACCCGCCTTCTGCCCCGCCCTGGTAGATGTGTTTACCTTCCGGGAACCTAGGCTGCCTGAGGGTGGTGGGCAGCCCGGGAGCCAAATTGGTTTTGGTCTGAATGGGTGGTGCGGCAAGTAATATTGTCCATTTAATCTAGGTTTGTGGACCTCGCCTGACTCCTTCTTTCCTGGCTTCTACCTCTCCTAAGGAAGAGATCAAAATCTCGCCGTTGTTGTTTCGTCATTTACATTTCTGTAGAGTAGTGATAACATTTATCGATTTCTCGAACAAACGCTCAGTAAGTACAAAGGCTCTAAGAAGGCAGGAAGAATGAGAAAAATACTGTGGTTTAAGCAGAGTTAATTAAATATAGAAAAATAGTTAGGAAAGGTGAGCAGTAGCCAGATGGACTATGGTCTTGTACAGAATTATAAGGAGTTTCAATTTTATTCTAGGGTGAGAATCTATTGGAGGACTTTCAGCTAGGAAGTCTCATGATCGTATTTACATTTCTAAAAGATCATTCTATCTACGAAACAGAAAATAAGGAGGTGTGGTCTAGAACTGAGCCTAGAAGTGAAGCAGTAAAGGTGAAAAGTCATGAATTTCAGAATATTTTGGAAGAGAGAATTGAAAGAACTTGCTAATGCTTTGGATGGGGGATAAAAGGAAAAGAGAAAATCAAGGAAGATGCCCCTGTTTTGAGCTTGAGCAGCTGTGCGATGACATTTACAGAAAGGATGAACACTGGTAGAGTTCCACATTTTGTTTTATATTTCAGATATTTTTTATTTCTTCAAATTTATTTATTAGGAGTGACTGAAATAAAAAATATAATCGAGTCCCATCATCATCATGGAAATGGCTTTAAGAGAAAATTAGTCAGATGAATATTATTGCTTCCCATTTTCAACCAGTAAATAGTTGCCATTGATATAGGGATGAATTTCTCTGCCTTGGTTTCATCCTTTGTAAATTGTAGAAAGAATATTATGAGCCTAATAGGATTTTTATAGGAGTAAATTTAAAATTCTTGGAACCAATTAGAAATTTCTCCAAATTAACTAATTACTAATTAACCAATGAACTAGTTCTAAGCCCTCCATTTTTTTCTCTACAGAGATGGTCTGTGATTCTCTCATGAGCCTTCAAATGGAGAGAAAATAAAATTTATGGTAATCATTTTTTTAATGGAAGTAACTTATGAGTGCTTTAGCACACATTGCCAGTTCATGAGTCATTTCAACAATCTGTTCTTGTGATGGAGCAATGCCAGCTAGCAAACGCATTTTCAATGTAATAGAGTGAGTTCAAGCCAGAGTTCTGTGTTATTCCAGTTGCTACAATGTCCATTATATTAAGTCACTAATGACTAAAATTGCGTCTTCTAAAGTCCCCAGGGAATTGTCAGGGCACTATCTGTATGCAAGCCAAATTTTAAGGTCACTTTATATTTTATTGTGTTTGTTTTGATAGGATTCAGATTCTTTTTTTAGCCTCAAGCAAACTATTAGCCTCACTTACCCTGACCACCAGAAACATGGATAATACACAATTTAAGCAGTGGTGAAATAATCTGATTTCACATACAACTATGATGAACATTAATATTTTAACTTTCAGTGACGTAAAAGGAAAAACAAAGAGGTTAAAAAGTCGCCATATGATTTATCATTCTACCCAGGAAACCTCCTTGAAACGAGCCTCAATAAATAATTAAACCAAAATTTTTTTAAAAGGTAAAGGTTTGTAAAGTAGGACTGTAACAGGCAAGTTATGAAGTGTGGTTGCCCTTTATCTCTCACATTAATACTACTTTGTAGCTGTTCTCTAGTTGATTAATGTGTAATCCTATTGTATATTTAGCTAAAATGTAAGCTCTTTAACAGAAGGGATTGTTTCATTTCTAGTCTCCATAATGCTCTATTCACTAACAGGAAGAATTACATGTCAGAACCCCAACAGTTTATCCTGAAATCTGGAGCTGGTATTTATGATTAAATATACCAGAAAGGAAAACTATTGGCAAAGACCAAAAATTAGTTACAACTCTTTTAATGACTCTCAGGACATAATTTACCTTCCCCATATGTTACCTTCCCCAGTTAACCCTGGATAAAACCTGCTTTAAAATCTGAAAAAAATTATGACGACAGAGGAGAGTTGGCTTCACAGTTGTGAGTACACAAAACACAGTTTATTCTTTATTATTATTTGTTAATTATTGTATTATTTCCCATATGAATAACTGTAAACATACTTTTGCCCACCCCTGCATTTAGAGGGAAAATACACTTACAACACTTCACTCCATTAGGGCAATCTTCCGAATATCTGGAAGATGATGAAAATAACATTATTGTTATTTTCAAACCTAAAAACCCTATATTCTTTATAGATGGTGATGGACTGCCTCCAAGATGATCAAAAATCACACCCACCCTTTAGTAGTATTCACGGCATGTGGCTGCCCCATGCATTTATCAGATTCAGCAGGTGTGATTAATAAAATGCAGCCTAATTAACATGGCACTTCTGAGGTTACGCTACAAAAGACATTGTGGTTTATGCCTTGTTCTTCCTGATGTCGCCTGCTCTGGGGGGAAGCTAATGGATGTGTTGTGAGCAGCCCTGTGAAGGGGCACATAGAGCAAGGAACTGAGGCCTCCTACCAACAGGTACGTGTTGTGGGAAGCAGATCCTCCAGCCCTGGTGAAGCCTTCAGACGACTGCAGCCCCGTACGACTGATTCCGAATACCCAGAAACTGTGAGATGTTTATTGTTTTAAGCTGCTAAATTTTGAGGTATTTTTAAGCAGCAATATGTAACTAATATATTTTAATCTTGGAGGAGTAAGATAAATAGGTCGAGAACCTGTTCTACAAAATCTTGAAAAGAACCAGTATGTGAATGTGACATTTTGATATGAAATACATATTTTGGTTTTTGTTCCAGGCTGCTGGCTAGAGCTCCTAAACCATTTGCCGTTTCCTAGGTATTTAAAGATGTTAGGAACATCTTTTGCCTTTGGTCATTGAACCTTTTCTGACACTGAGCTCCTAAACCCCTTGGAATTTTCTGATAGGAGCATCTTTTGTTCTTATGAGGTCACTCTCAGTGGACTCCTAGATAGCTTCAGGATGGGGGCTTGTCAGCAGAAAGAACAAGCCATGATTAAAAGTTGAATTTTCAGCCTCACCAGACCACTTCCTCCGAGGAGGGGAAGAGGCTGGAAAAATAGTAATTATGGCTACATGGTGAAGCCTCCATAAAAACCCCTCAACCATGGGATTCAGAGAGCTTTCAGGTTAGTGAACATTTACATGCCAGGTGGGTGGTACACCTCAAACCCATGGGGACAGAACCTCCTGCACTTGGGACCCTTCTGGACCTCACCTGATGTCTCTCTTTATATCCTTTATTATATAATAAACCAGTAAACATGTTTCCCCGAGTTCTGTGTGTTCTAGCAAATTATCAAACCTGTGGAGGGGGTTGTAGAAACCCCAATTTATAGCTACTTGATCAAAAATATGTGACTTGTCCAGCCAATATAGCTCAGTGGTTGAGCATCAACCCATGAACCAAGAGGTCCCCAGTTCAGCTCCCAGTCAGGGCACATGTCTGGGTTGCAGGCTCGATCCCCGGTAGGGGTGTGCAGGAGGCAGCCAGTCGATGGGTCTCTCACATTGATGTTCCTGTCTATCCCTCTCCTTTCCTCTAAAAAATAAATAAATAAAAAATAAAATATCAAAAGTATATGCGACTTGTAATTGGTATCTGAAGTTGGGGCAGTCTTGAGAGATTGAGCCCTTAATTTGTGGGATCTGATAACTCCAGGTAGGTAGTGTCAGAACTGAATTGTAAGACATCCAGTTAGTGTCTGCAGAAATTAGAGAACTGCCTGGTGTAGGAGAACCCATACATCTGGTGTCATAAGTATTGTGTGAATAAAGGAAGAAATCGTGTTTTCCTTTTAGTGGACATAGTTAAGAAATGGCAAAGTTATATGCCCCAGACTAGACAGAATACTAAAGAATGAGGAGACTCTGTGATGTACTGATACGGAAAGCATCTTCAAGGGATAATTAAGAGATAAACGTGTATAGTTGCACATCTATGCACAGGTTATCACTGAGAGAACACATAAAAAAGGGGGAAGATGTTGGCTGCCCTGGGGACTGCGGTGGGGGTTTTTCATTATGTACCATTTTATACATCATGAATTTTCCATCATGCAGATCTGTTACATAGGCAAATACAATTTAATAAAAATAGAAACATTAAAACACTTGTGATTACATAACGTCTTCAATGCCTTAAAGAATAGGTCTGAACATAGCCCAAGGAACACATACAGAAGAGCTCATTTTAGCATTTGCAGTTAAGTGTGTCAAACCAATGTTTCCAGCATTAGATGGCTACTCGGATGGTATGTAATTGGGTTCTATTGCACTAAAAATGTAATCTATGAAAGAATTAATGTTGTGGCATTTTTGCATTAAAGAATACTTAATTCATTACTCGAGTCAAATGGAAATTT